ACACACACACACTCCACCCATGGCACAGCAGCAGGTGGGGACCCTGCTGCTTGGCTTTTGCCAGTGCTGCACATTGCAGCAAGGAGTGCAGCCCCCACTGGGCCATAAGTTTGTCTGGCACTCCCCACACTCGCGAGGCACAGGAGGGAAGCCCTAGTTGCTAGAGTTGGCTGCTTTCCCTGACCCAGTCTGTTCCAGCACCTAGGGCTTCCCTCCTGTGCCTCGCGAGTGCGGGGAGAGCCAGGGAAACAAATGGCCCTGTGGGGGCTGCGCTCCTCACAGCACTGGCCGGAGCCAGGAGCCAGGCACCAGCACTGAGCACAGCATATCCTACCCCCAACTGTTGCTGCTTCCCCCTGCTGCCTGGCAGGGCTGTCCACCATGCGGGGAGTGTGTGGGGGTCCCCATACCCCTCCTCCTTCACATCGACGCCCTGCCCACCCGAGCTCTGCTGCCACCCCCCTGGGAGAGGGCTCCACGCTGTAGTCAGCTCCAGCCCCATATTCCATGGTCCCAATCAGCTGCAGCTCTACCCTGACCTCAGCTTCCCTACCTGCTGCTTGGAGGGAGCGGGGTGCTGGGGAAGCCTGCAGCAGCAGCTCCACCCTGTGCTAGTGATGCTGGCCCTTCCACCCATGAGGGTGGTAGCGAGGCATAATAGGATATGTCAGGGGTGGGTGTAGGTGCCTTGATCCCACCCTCACAGGCAGAAGTGCTGGACAAGGCACAATGTTGGGGAGTGTAATGGACTGGATGAAAGTGCCTGGTGGGCTGAATCTGGCCTGTGGGCCATATTTGGCCCATCCCTGAGATAGACTGTTCTCAGTGATGGCAGATGACAGAATAAGGAGTAATGGTCTCAAGTTGCAGCAGGGGAAGCTTCAGTTAGATATTAGGAAGAATTTTCTCACTAGGAGGGTAATAAAGCACTAGAACAGGTTACCCAGAGAGGTGGTGGAAGCTCCATCCTTGGAGATTTTTAACACCTGGCTAGACAAATCTTTGGCTGGGATGATCTAGTTGGGGATGGTCCTGCCTGTAGCAGGGTGTGCAGCGTGTTGGATTAGATGACCTGCTGAGGTCCCTTCTAACCCTAATTTTCTATGATTATGGCAGGTGAGAGTCTTCTGCTTCTTGAAGTATGGTATTCTGAGAGGAATCTTTGAGACGGTCAATTGGATATGCATGCGGAAACCCAATAAGCAAATAATAGCTGTATGTCCTGAATGATAGGCTTAAATGTTATTCTTCATGGACTGATATATAGCGCAAGCAGAAAGATCAGATCCATTTGTGAGAGCCACATCTTTGTCTAATTTTTGTGTTTCATGTTTCCTATGCCATATATCAAATGAACCAGTACCTAGTTTTCTGCAAGAATCCACCCCTACTCAAAAGTTACTCAATATTGCAAAAACTTACCATTTGCAGATGAAGATTAACAGTGAGACCATTCATTAAGGCTACTTCATCTCTATGAGCCCCTGAAAAGTAATAATATAGAAGTAACAATAAACATGTTCTCACTCTTGTCACAGTGCATAATGTCTAGTAAAACAATATGAAAAGCAGTCACAGTTTTCAGTCAATGTCTCTCAAAAGATGAGAAGGTAGACATATGTCTGATGTGTCATCCCAGTGAAACAGAAAATTCTCCTGTCTGACTACTGCAGTAGTCTGACAAGGAAATATTTATTTTCTGGCGTTGATACGGCAAATAAAACAGATAATAAAGCAGCTCTATTTTTCTGCAAATCACCCGTTGATTTATTACTATTTGCACCTTGCCCAAATGCAGCAACAGTATTTTGTCTCAGACCAACACGGCTACCAAGTACACCCCTGAAACATGGAAGATGCTGAATTTCAGCTGTTTTTGGATTTTAAACTTCATTGCAGAACTACAAGGAAGTTTTTTTACCTCCCTGCCTTCCATTTGACATCTTCAGGGAAGGAATTCTACCTGATCAACACATCAAAGAGCTACTCAACACAGCACACAAAGACACTCCCATAGACCCAGAGGGACAGACTTCCATCTTCAGCTCCCTCTGTGCAAAAATGAAGTTTATTTCCTCCCTACGGGGACTTCTTACCATCTTGTACCATCTACACTTTTCCCAGAGCCTGACGAAGGGACTTTGATCCCAAAAGCTTGCAGAAAAGGACAATTTTCTTGCCATTTTCCAGTTGGTCTAATAAAAGGTATCATTTTGGAACTAAGAGTTCGAGTTTTTTGTATGTCTTTTTGTCTCAGACCAACACAGCTACCAAGTACACCCCTGCAACAGTATTTTGTCATAAGTACATCCTTAATACAAAAGAAAAATATATTGGGACAACCATCCAGTTTTAAGTGGTTATTATAATGACACGCTAAAAAGACTTCTGCAAAATATAATTCACTGTTATTACTGTATATATGGTTCATTTTGTATATATGGTTCATAACAAAAATTGAAAAAAATTACACAACCAATTTTTTTTGATTCAACCATGTTTCTTAGTTCTAAAATAACTAATGTGGATGGATGTTAATGAGTCACAAGCATAAGAAGTAAATGTTTCCCATGTTATAACAAGATATTTAGGAATGAAATCTCAAGCAATGTCTAGACCATAAAGTTATGGTGCTCTGGAGCAGAATCTTCACATGTGCTACGGTGCTCCAAACAGACTTCTTTCTATAATAGAAGAGTGTAACTGTATCTCTGCAGTATTGTGAGCATCCTAATTAACATAGAACTGAGCTAATTGGAACTGTCACTTCGCAAGGCTAGCTGGTTCACCAAAGTGCTGTGTGGGAGCAGCTTCACTTTTTCCGAAACATCCTTCCTGTGGCAAAAGTGTGCTTCAGGAGCACGGTCTGGAACATGGGAAATCTGAAGTGTAGATATGGCCTCGAGTCTTATTACCAGTTATGGAAAGTTTCAGGCAGGATGCAGACCTGCAGGTAAAGCAGAGCTTGCAAGGCTTACCTAAAGAAAATAACCATGTCCTGGATTGGGCCTAATGTCTTTTACTGCTAAGATCAAAACTACTTGCCCAACCTAGAGACAAATAAGTGCTTTGTGAAATTCTCTTTCTGGAAGGTGGGCTTTTCTGTACAGTCTATTTGTCTCTATTGAGGTGGGATAAACTTGAAGAGAGAGATAGAAAAGCAGAGAGAAAAACATGTAAGAACCAATGTTTGAATGCTAAAGTGAATGCATTCAGGAAGACAAGCAAGAAATAAGGTGAAGGAAAAGAAGTATGGAGGGGGAACAAGAAGACCTTGCAGTGAAAACGGGAAGGAGAGTAAAAAGTTTTGGGGAAAACCCTGCCTTATGCCTGCAGGATGTTCAAGGGCCAAAACACAATGGATTCACTGCATACTTCTAGAACAATGAATTTCCTCCACCCACCCATACAATGGCAGCACGCAGCATTGCTGTCCTAATTGTACTTCTCTCTCCCCATCCAACTTATGCTACTGACAGATAGTTGCTTTGTAGGGATTGTCAGTGCACCAGCATAGACAATATATAGCACTTTTGGGTAGGTCTGAGGTAGAATGGGGAATGGCCAATGGGTTTGGAAATGATGTGTATCTGCTGCCCAAAACCCTTTGTAAATCTACACTGGTAGGTATTTGTGGGCCAAAATAATGAGGCACGTCTGAGGAATTTCCCTGCTCAAGTCAAGAGAAAATGTTCTTAACATTGTGGACTATGTGAGGAAGAAGCATCTCAAACCTGGTTATCGATAGGGAAGAAAACCACACTCAATCTTATTCCCCTTTCCTGCCTCCTGACAGTATTGTTTCTGCAGGTGCCATCCTGCTAGGAGGCAGTCACATTCTGGCTCCTCAGTTGCGGATGCAGAAGAGAGCCAGAGGGAGTAAATGTAGCTTAGAGCTGTATTTCATGTTTAATTTTCATATAGAAATCTAGAAGCTGAAAAAAGGATAGTACTATGAGGTGTAATGACCTTTATCCCTTCCTCTTGCAGGTCCATAATATCACAAAAACACTTCTATGTAAGGTTACAGTGGAACCAATACAACCTTTTTTTCTGTTTCTCTTATTTTGCTCATGTGCCGAACAACAGTATAAGTGGTTAATCTGAAGATCACCTTTAACTGCATGCCAATATCCCAAATTAAATATGACACTGCATTTGTCATGTAAGTCTTGGTCTCTTGTAAATTATATATGTATTAAAAGCTCTCCTTTATTGAATTTCATGGCCACAAAACAAACCACATCTATGTCATTGGAAAACTGTTATCCTTTATTATGTGCACTATTTTTCAGAAGCAACGTATGATCCAATTAACTTATTACAATATTCAAAGACCCAGCATAAAAGATACAAAAATGAAGGTTGCTTGCTTTATTTCCTAACTTTGTACATTGTACCATATCTCCAAGTCAGGATAAAACTCCATATGTTCTGCTTGATAAATCTTCTCTTTAATAAAAGGAAGCAGCAATTGTAAAGTACCAGCCTCTCCACAATTTTGGAAACAATTATGATTGTACTAGGCAGCCACTGCTCTTATTTTTTTCTTTTCCTCTGTGACTGCAGCAGAAGCCTGGTTCTCGACAAAGTAAGTAAAAAGCATTTTGTAAAATGAGTAAAAAAGGCTAAAGGCCCCGATTCTAAAAACAGTTTGGTTATTTCAAATAATCCTTATCACTCAAAGTCACTACAAATCTGTTCAGTGCTCAGTCTTTCCTCAGCAGAGACCTGCCTGAGTGCATTGTATAACAGCAGCAATACAGTTAATCTTATTCTATCAGAAGGTGATCCTGCAAAGGTTGTAATGTTTTAATAAAGCACAGGAGGAAAAATCGAGATTACAGTCTCACTGTTATGCCACTTGGCTTAAAACAGAAAAGAGCTTTAGCCTCTGGTGACCTTGACTGCATTCACAATATATTTACTATTATAACTTTCATTTAGCAGGAAAATGTGTGTGCATTTAATAAGGAAGGCATTACAAAACTATAAACCTTTAAATGGACACACACACACACACACACACACCCTTTTATGGCCTTCACTTCATTCCTAAATAAATTCTACCAGACAACATTCACTTATTGCTTCTCAAAATGAGGTATGATGCTTCTTCCTGGTCCATAAAATGGTAAATATTAAACACAAAACATCGTTAAAATTCTGTTTATGTTCTCATATTAAACCTCCTAAAGGAAAAAAGTTAGAATTTGCTCTTCTTCTTCTCTGCACTCACACTGATAGGCTTAGTTTTACATGTTGCTAAGGAGAATATTTATTCTTAAATACCACATTGGAGGAGAACATTTAAATATAATATTATTCTCCTTTGCTTTTACACTGTTACAAAGAGAGAGTCTGAAATAATTATTCCACATTAGGGAAACATTATTGGCCTAGAGAGGTGACAATGCATCTCTTACTTGGAAGAGTACTTACCATATTAATTTGCTCTCATTCTAAGAAATAATCATCTAGAATATGCAAATATGTTCTAAGAACATTTCCCACAAATAAAAACTTGTTGGGCTATGAATCTGAAGGCTAGATTTCAGCCTAAGCTATATTTTATAGCTCAATTATGCAGCCTTTAAAAAAACCCAAGAGAATGAGGTCTATAATGATAATGCTGACAAAATCTTATATGCCAAAAGGTGCAAAAAAAGCTACAAAATACTTCCCAGTAGAGAACTTAAATCGTAAGAAAGTAGGTTAATGGTGCACTGACCTTTAGTCATTATTTTGTTTAGAGAAAACTTAAAAATATACAGGTCACACTGCTTAAAATGGACAAAGATGCAATAAAATGAATACATTTTGGCCCTGGTGAAAAAAGCAGACACATGTTTATAACATACTATAACAGCTTTCTGAGTACTTTGGTGGTGAAGGGGCAAGCATGGAAGTGTCAAAAACAGAAATGAGATGAAGATTATGCAGAGACCTAATTTCCTGCTTCACACCTCTCTTCAAATTGCACATTTTATTTAGTTAAACAAATAATTTAAAAACATGACTTAATGATGAAATCCTAACTACAGTAGTCTGTCATCTCTGCAAGTCAGGTTGCTAGGGACACATCATTCCAGTTCCCTATTTTCTTCACTAACTCCCAGCCTAACACACTTAGGGAGATTCATCCCTGGACTGAGAGAAGCAGAGCGGGTAGAGGATTCGTTTGCCTGTCCGAATGTACTGCTGTTAGAGGCACAGTTACAGCCTCAGATCTTCCCTAATTGCACCTTCAGCTGCCAGGCTATAGCAGAGGAGAATATACGGATATATACATAACTTTGCTATGCCTGTTCCCAGCTCAGTCTACCCAGTGCTTTGGCTTATGCCGAGGCAGTACAGAACAACGCTAAGTGTATGCCAAGGGCATTGTACCAAGGGTTTATCATTTTGCAGGTGTCAAAGTGGCCAGGATGAATCTTTACCCCTCTCCAAAGTCCATTTTAACATCTCCATGATGACCTTTAAA